CTCTCTTCCCCTCCCTCACTTCAATTGCCCTCTTCAGAAACTGTGAGCAATTCAGGTAAACAATAATTTGTGTCAGCACAATAGAGTATCTCCTTTTGGGTTTCTTGGGAGCTAATGTTACATGTACAACCACTATAAAATGTCCCACAGTGTGTACTAAGTTGTTTCAGTTTCTGAAATGGATAAACTGGAATTTCATCGTATTCCCCTTGGGAAGTGATACATTTATAATGCTCTAAGATATCATCATATATGAAATATAGCTGTTATTTTCTTTAAATAATTTTCCTCCTTTCCTTTTATTGGCCCCTTTTCTCCCACACACAAATCCGCAAGCTGTAGATGCTCCATTACAGTGATGTCAGCTTTGCTACATGGTCCAGCTGTTAGTAGGTTTCTTTCAAAAGTTCAGACCTTGTGTGTGATACTGTAAATGCACATTGTGTTTATCATCATAAAGCTAACATGTTACAGATCCCAGTAAGTGTAATTTTAATGGACGGTCAGTACGTTTAAAAAATACCAAGAAGCATTTAATCTTCCTGTTGGTGATATTTTAATTGCAGACTTCCCAGTTGTTTCTTTCCCAGAGTTGGTTCACAAATTCCTGCCTCCTTTCCACGTCCTCCCCTTCCTTCAAGTTTCTGTGATTTTTGGACAAAGTAGAACATTTTCTTAGTAAGACAATATGTATTTTAAGTAGAGACGTCTGAGTGGAAATATGCCTTTGTCCACATTTACACATGGTCAAGTCCTCATTTAACTTCATCCTTCTCTGCCAGACCACCAAACTGAAAACATCTATTCTGGATTCAATGGCTTTACATGTCACAGCATGTTATACTGAGCTGATGTAAAGATTAGCACAGATGTAGACCACAGGATCACTGAAGGAGGGTGAAAGAAATGTGGGATGCAGCTCTGTAAAAGAGAACCAGCATGGTGTAGTGATTTGAATGTTGGCCTGGGCTTTGGGATACTAGGGTTCAAATCTCTGCTTAGCCATGGAAACCCACTGGGTGAACTTGGGCAAGTCACAGTCTCTCAGTTTTAGAAGAAGACAATGGCAAAACTCTTCAGAATAAATCTTGCCAAGAAAAGCTTATGGTAGGATCACTGTAAGATGAGTCAGCATAAAAGCACATACCAAGAAAAAGAGCTCTAGCATCTACAAGAGAATCCTTATCTCGAACAGGACAAGAGTAGCCTTTTAGAAGAAGCTTTGATAGAAGATGCAATTTCTCAATTAATGAGAAATTTATGTGTCATTATTCAAATATCTTGGACTAATTTTATAATGTACAGTGATCCTTTCTGATTTGCAGGGGATCCGTTCCACACACACACACACACACTGGAAAAATTGCCAATATTGGGGTGCATATGCACCGTGGGCATATGCACCATATTGTTCCCTCCCCGCTCACCGGCTATGAAGAGCGAGACCACAGACCTGAAGTCCGCAAATGGGGAGGGACGCCTGTATTATACTTTTTGTATATAGTGTATTTGGTAATTACTTTAAGATACTACATAATTCTAATCTGCACTACAGAAATAATGCAGTTTCATAGCATTTAACTGCTATGCCTCAGTGCTATGAAATTCTGGGATTTGTAGTTTTGTGAGATCTTTAGCCAAATCAGATAGCTCTGGTGCTACTACAAACTACAAATCCCAGGATTCCATAGCATTGTGCCATGGCAGTTAAAGTGCTGTCAGACTGCATTATTTCTGCAGTGCAGATTAGGCCATAGACTAAAATATACCCAGGACTTACATATGCTTGTCTCCTAGGTTAATCTTTAAAAGAAAGACTATGGAGATTCAGCACACAGAAAACCTTGGGAAATTTACTTTTTAGATTACAGCTCCTGAAGCCAGATGGAGGATTCTGGGAATTATTGATTAGAAAAGTAACTTTTCCAAGCTCTAGCCAAAATTCTGTGGTACCTTAGAGTCCAATGCCTTGATCCTATTGGTAGCCCCCAACTGGAGTAGATTTAATGAATTTGTAATGTGTACATTTGCAGAATAATATCTTTTACTTGTTATATGTCTTCCAGTCACTCTGACTTATAACCCTCTCATTGGGTTCTCTTGGCAAATTTTATTTCAGAAAAGGTTTATCATTGTCTTCCTCTAAGACAGAGAAAGTGTGGCTTGTCCAAGGCCACCCAATGGGTTTCCATGGCTGAGTGATTTGTTTGCCTTAGTCCAACCACCATACCACCTTGGCTCTATATGACAAAACATTTCACTCAGTAGTAGGGTGGCCACATGAAAACAAGGAGGATGTTACTGCATAGTTATGTGGAAGCTAAAAGTTCAATAGATACAGCTTGTGATACAAGTTTCACCTACTAAAAATCTTTCTTTCCAAAGCTGTATAAAAAGTAGTAAGACCTGTCCTTTTTTCATGTGGCTGTACTAGTCTATTGGATGGAATAAACAAGATCCATGTGTGGAGCAGGTTTCTTCAAACAGTATATTGGGTGTACATCTAATTACTGCATAGCCATGAGGGGAACCAACAACCACCAATTGAGTAATGTGTGGAAAACTCACTAGCAAACATTTGACTTCAAGCTTTTAAGTATATGTCTTTGCATCTTGCATGGTTTCTCCAGTAGAACTGATATTTCAGCTCATTGTTTTGTTTGTGCCCATAGGTCCTTTGTCATCCAGCAAATTCAAAACAGCAATCTATTCATGGTGGTAGTAAGTAATGAGTGTGACTGTGAATCAGTTTCCCCAATTACCATGGAACCAATAGAAATAAGGTATATCCTTTACTTTGACAATAGCTGGGACTGAAATAAGCAATATAAATGGTACTCTTTAGTAAATTGAACAATGTGGAGATAAGAGAATTGCTTCAGACTTAGCCATACTTAGAGCAAGCACATTGAAATCAATGTGACTTAAGTTAGTCAGGTATGGCTAAACTCAGATCCAACCACATAGTTTGAAAATTGAAAATCTGAAAAATATATTGCATTGAATTATAAGATTTGAACATTCATTGTAAATTCAATATATTAACTAAATTGGGAGTATATAAAAACTACAGTATCCACATTTGACAGATGAAATTTATCTGTTGGATTTATTTTACCTTTACTTTGCAGGAGGAGTATTGGCAATTCTTTTGAGATATGATGACACTTTACTAGATATTCCATATTGGAAATAATGCAGTATCTGATATCCCTGTGCTATGTAACTTTCTAATTTATTAGTGTCTGCTTGGAGCACATCTATCCTTTTTTATTAAAAAATTGAATTTTTAAAATACAACTACAACAAAATATAAAAAAATGAAAAAGAAAAAGGAAAAAGAGGGGAAAGGAAATACATAGGTAGCAAAAGGGCCACAATTGTACATTAATATGAGGTGATCATATTTCCAACAGTACGTTTTCTTGAAACTGATATCAATACAATATGTGTTCATCCATAACTAATGAAATAAGATATCTTATCTTTGATGTTGGATGGTTGTCTTTCCAACCTTGGGATATATACATCTTGGAGTATAAAATCATGTAGGATCCAACAGTGTTTAACACATGTTTCCAGCAATAATAAAGATTTTTCTGATACAAAATTGATACATTATAATGCACCCCACCAAAAAGGAGTATTTATTGGACATGTCCATATCATAAAGAAGGATTATCTGCATTACATCTCCAAAATTTAATTGAACCCACCCTTTCAGCTGCAGTGGCAGCTTTTTTGCACCCTTTTGGCACAGCGTGTGCACACGTTGTACCAATAGGTCATCCTGATGTCATATGCCATTTGAATGGGTGCGCAGCATCAGGACGGGGTTAGGGTGGAGTTGGGGCAGCCAGTGTGCAGCTGCCGCACCCCAATTCCACCCCCAGGCCAATCTGCAAATCCCCATAGTCTGAAAACACATTTTGGTGCAAGGAACCAAACATAATTTAAAGAGGTTTTAGATGGGAAGCTAGAGCAGTTTTCCATTGGTTAATTTGCACAGGACAGTTGTTTCTCCCAACTCTAACTTCATTAACATCAAATTTAGAGTTCAGCACATCTTTCAAATGATAGTGCATCAAACTTGGAAGACAGGTGGGTCTTACAGGAAGGTGGTACTGTGAGCAGATAATGATAGATAACTTTGGGAGGTTGCTTTCAATGTGCTAACATCCTGATTTTAAGACACATCCTTAACTTCTGTGAACATAATGAATCCCTCAAATGTGAACGCTTAAAATCTCACAAGATTAGAAGGCGTCCAGAGTCTTGCCATGGATTCCATCCTGAGGTAGGTAGAGAAAAAGTGTCCTAGAACAAAAGCAACTACATTTGTTCAGGGCCTGGTTCTTCCTGCTTCCATGGCTTCTCACTATACTGGCTGGGTTCTCAAGCTGTAGTCTCAAAAAGGTTACTTTCCAAGCTCTGCATTTGCTCCCTTCAGTCCACTGCCATATCTCCTTCTTCCTCTCTGATATTTCCTCTCAGCTGCTTCACTGCTGTTTCAAGCTTGCTAGGTCCAGGACTGAACTGTTCATCTTCTGCTTGCCATTTTTTTTTCTTATCCATTGGCCTTGTTGCCAGCCATCCTTTTGCACAGGTGTGTAGCACATTGTTGTTAAAGTTCTTTATGTATGTTTTTGCTGAATCACTAGTTAGTAAATTATATATACACAATTATAAAACAGCTTCAGTGTGCAAAGTGCTTTCTAGTCTTTCCCTGTTTTTAACTGTTCTTCATTCTGACAGATTAGATTGTTAAAATCCCATTGATAAAACTGATATGGAAAAATGAACTGAAGAATCACAACTTGTGATCCAAAGACCTGCAAGTGTGTCTCTCCCTGTATCAGTCTGCCTGAGACTTAAGATTTTACTACCACCATGAAGAAGAGATGAGTCTCTTCTCCAAGAGCTTGTGCTTCACAACAACCTCAATCCAACATCCCCTCAGTGTAGCATAAATATCTGCATGTAGACCTATGCTGCTGAGAGCCAGTGTGGTATAGAGGTTTGAAAGTTAGTCTAAGAATCTGGAAATCAGGGTTCAAATCACTGCTCAGCCATGGAAACCTACTGGGTGACCCTATCTCTCAGCCTAAGAGGGAGGCAAAGTCAAATCCCCTCTGAATAAATCTTGCCAAGAAAACCCCCATGATAGAGTCACTACAAGTCAGAAATGACTTGAAGGCACACAACAGCAACAATAACAACAACATCTATGCTAAGCTGAGCCATATACCAAATACCCCTGATCCACTGTAAAGTGCTGAAGCCACCTTGCACAGCCATTTCATGTTTCATGGCCAGAAAGCAAGATTAAAGTTGATCTGGCTCTCCTCCCACTCGAAACAGTCAGTGATGACATCAGCACTAAGATCTATGGGGGAGTCCTCTAAGGGTTTCAGCATTGCTGTAACCATTGTACCTTTGGCTAGGGGAGATGGGTTGTCAGATGCTTCTCCAACCATGCCTGTTTTCCTTGAAACATGGGATGGCCTTGTTGAGGTAGTTCCAGACCTTTACAGTAGATTGGGAGGGAGGCTTTGGGAGCTGTGCAGACACAAAAGGAATACAAACCTCAGCAGCACTCAAACAAGCACTTTCCCATGTGAAGGGATTCTTACATGTGTGGATGTCCCTAACTTTATTTTGGCCATTGTGTCAATAAGAGAAGAGCCTTTTCAGTTGTGGCACCCCAACTGTAGAGTGCCCACCCTATGGTGGTACAATTGGTACTGATGCTGCAATGCAGTCCACCACTGTAGTGGCCTTTGAACCAGGTCAAATCAAGGACTGTATGCTAGCTACTATAATAGGCCTTCACAACTTGTGATTCTTTAGGCTGAAGTCAGACTACCTAGCTCAATGGGTGCTTGGTACCACCTCCCTGATTTTTCAATCTGGCACAAGTAGCCAAACTGGCAAGTTTTTCAGCCTTCAAGAGCGTGCCAAGTCAACATGTTAAAAAATGATAAAAACCCAAAGCTAAACCAGGAGAAGAAGTCAAAACTACCAACATATGATGGGAATTAAAATAACACAGAAAGACCTGAGAAAACAGCAACAACCAAAAAAGAAATCAGGACCTGAGAAGAGAAAGAAAGCACGATTGGTGCTAAGGAAATCCCACTTGAGAAAACATTCCACAAGAGAGGGGAACTACAAGAGAAGGCCCTCTCTCTACTAGTTACACTCCACCTTTCAGAAGGAGGGACTACTGGGAAAAGGCACACAGAGATACAAACCGTTTTAATTGTGGCAGTCATCTATCAGTCCCAGAACTGCATGTTAATAACGCTGTAGTTGTTGTGTGCCTTCAAGGTGTTTCCAACTTATGGCAACCTGAAGATGATCCTATCAAAGGGTTTTCTTGGCACATTTTTTTAGAAGCAGTTTGCCATTGCCATTCTCTGAGGCTGAGAGAGTGAAATACCCAAAGTCACCCAGTAGGTTTTATGCTCAAGCAGGGATTTGAACCCTCCAGACTCATAATCCAACATGTAAACCACTACACCACAATGGCTCTCGCTGTGTCTCACTGTTAAATAGTGACTATAATCTCTTGCACACTCTCTTTGTTAAGGTAAATATTAGCTTGACTTATCAAAATACTTTCAATTTTCTTCTTCTTTTCCCCTCAATTTTTAGGAGAATGCCAGAGAATGTGGTGGAGTTTTAGGCCTGAGTGCTAAGCCTACTCTTCTTGTGCTTCCTCTGTTTCTGACCATTTTCTCAAGGTGACACTGACTGATGAACAACCACTTGGCATGCAAAATACATGGAAAAACTGTGAACTGAGAACTGGTGCAACTAGAAGACATGAAATATAGTCAAAACATCAGCATTTCATGATTTTAAACAGTGGGAATGTTATAAACTTTCCAAATTATGTAAAAAAAAGACTTTTTATTTTCTTTTTGTGCATCATGCAAATATGGATTTGCCATACAATAGTCACAATTCATCAAGAACTGGACTTTAGTAGGTAGAAACAGATGGTCATTACTTTCTGTTATGTCCCATGAAAGACAGTTTAAAACTGTGTACTTTTTAAATAAAGTATATTAAAATCACATTTTCTAGTGGTTGGTTTACTTTATTGTGTTCTAATACTTATGTGTTGGGGAAAGATGACAAGGAGAAGCATGTTTAGAATCTTCACAGTTTGGGAGTTATTCTGCACAAATTTCATGCGGTTCTCTCCCCCCCCCCCCCCCCCCCGAGCTTTTTCTTTGAAACAGCATTTTCTGTTTAGGATGTTGAACTCATTAGCAAGCTGCTCATGTGTAAATCTGACACAGAATGAGTGCTGAACGGCAGCATTTTCTGCACAGAAAACTACAATTTCTGCACACAATAAAATTATTTTCTACACAGAAAATGTTGTTCCTTTCCCAGAAAATGCTGTTTTCTGAGCAAAAAATTAAACCATGTGTGAGTTTTGCACATAATAAGTACCAAAGTACAAATAGTCTTTAAAAATGTGCTATTTTCAAAGACTTTCTCAGATCAGGAAGAAAATTGCTAGAATTACTCATTGCTTCCTTTGAGAACTACTTTAGCAATGATTATACCTCTGTATCACAGGAAGTTCATCTGATGAAATGGGGTGCAGTTCAGAAAAGCTTATCTCAAATGGAGCCTGGTTTTTAAGGTGCCACAAGACTCTTCATTTTACTGCAACAGACAAACATAGCCCCAGCCACAAAGTTAAGACTGCTAATCTTTGCAATGGATCTGGTTGTATTTCTTCATAGAAGCACAGGCATGTTCAGTCACACTTTAAATTGCCTGTTATGAAACAGAAATAGAATGGAAATAGAATGGAGCTCAATGGAAACAGTGCATTTAATGAAGCGACATCAAGAAGGGAAATGTTAGTACAAGTTTGCATTCACTAAGAAAAATGTTTAAGGGCATCTGTGGTCATTTATGGCTGCATCCAAATACAGCTTGCATTGTCTCATTCCAGTGGAATATGCTGCCTCTGGAGTCTCCTTCTTTGGAGGTTTTTAAAGAGAGGCTGCATGACCATCTGTCAGGGGTGCTTTGATTGTGAATGGCAGGGGTTGGACTGGATGGCCCTTGGAGTCTCTTCCAACTTTATGATTCTTAGATTCTTGGTACAAACTGAAACCTTTGTACCCAGCCACACCCAATCTGCCCTTCCAGCTAAGTAGTGCAAAGCAAAATGGAGAAGCAGGAGGGTGTAATATAAAAAGTATGCACAATTTTCACAAAGTCTTCTAAACAAGGGCTTGGAAGTGAAGTCATTGGCTTTCATGGCCAGCATCCATAGTTTTTTGTGTTTTTTTTTTTCAGGCTGTGTAGCCATGTTCTAGAAGAGTTTATTTCTGACATTTCGCCATCTTCAGAGATGCCAGCCACAGATGCTGGCAAAACGTCAGAAAGAAACTCTTCTAGAACATGGCCACACAGCCCGAAAAACCCACAAAAAACTATGGGCTTGGAAGCTTAGTTTTTGAACTTCAGCTTCCACAATCACCAACCAGAATGGCCATATTTCCTGTGGATTATATGAGCCATGGTCCAAAGAGTAATCCTTCCAAAAAAAAAATTCTAGGTGATGTTGTTGACTGTGTTTAGCTCATATTCCTTTCAGTCTGGTTTCAAACTGATCAGGGAAACCAGATTACTCCTCAGACACCCATCATATGGCTCCATACGTAATACAGTTTTTTTTTCTTTCCCTCCTCTTTTCCCCTAATCACTTCTTCATCAAATTGTGGGACTGTGCCCATATTTAATTGGAAAGTGTGACTGATTTTGACACAGTATACTGGAAGAAGGGAAAACACTGTGACTTAGCATATAGGTATTGCAGCTGATCTGCCTTCCTGTCAATTTGATCAAATGTTACCTGTCATTCTGTCAGTTTCTTTTCATTTTCATAAACACTTGTCTTCGCTGATATGTTCAAAATAAAACTATTTGCAATTATGTTAAATGATAGAAACTTTCAGTGGCAGAGCCATGCAATCAAGCCATAGTTCACTCATTTAAATTAAGGATTTCAAGAGGCCTGCTGGGAACCATATTGTACAGGAATATCCTGGTATCACCACTGTTTAAATCTATAGAGCATGAAACTGACATTTTTCTTAATGTATGCTCAATGAAACATGGCAAGAGGCTTGTTTGAAATCATTAGCAAGATTCTTGTGGTCATCCATGTTTCCCTTAATAATGCATCGAAGAGACTAAAATTACAATCCTGGGTATATTTAATAGGAGATATGCACCCTGTCAATGTCAATGATATCAATATCTATGATGGTAAAAGCAGACTGCAGTGAGGGTGTATTTCAGGGAGAAAATGGCTCCTCCATCATTCCAGACAGCCCTTTCTATGCCCTGCCTGAGACATTTTGATGCCTAAAGCAAAGAACATGATAGCATCCCTTTTCCTGTTCCATATACAGAAGCTAACTGAACTGCCCTGAATTTGTTTCATGTTTGGTGACTGCACTACATTTGAGAGCAGGCGGTCATTAAAGGGAACAGAACAGGGATGTGCAGTGCATTGTGTGCTTTCCTCCAACAATTTCCACAAAGATAGTCAGGAGGAGCAGCCACGAGACCCACACTCTCCCAACACCTGACATTTCAGGTGGCTGCTTCAGTCTAACAAATGGTAGGGCCACTCCTGTTTTCTCCCCCAAGTTATATGGGACACTGTTGGCAGTTCTAGACCATAAAAGGGCATAGAATGGGCTAGGACAGATAATCCTGCATTGGTGGCTGCTGATGGTGCCACCTCAACAACCAGACAGGGAAATTTGTCAGCTTTAAGCAGCATTTGTCCTGTGTAAATCCATCCTAAAATTACTAAGATACATCCTAGATGTTGGATGGAAATTCCCTCACCTTTCTTCACCATTGACAATGTTGACTGGGAGTTATCATTCAACAACATATGGAGGGCTACACTTTTTCCACTCCTGCTTTAGTGTAATGTGTAGTTTGACCTAAAGAGAAACAACTGTGAGTGGTCTTCATGGAATTGACCTAATGGATACTACAAGTTCTGGAATAGGTAGAC